CATTTTATCTGTGGGGAGATCCTCAATTTAATTTATCATAGGAATTAATAAAACACCTATATTTTACATGAAAAAATTATACAGAATGTCACCTTTCTAATGAAAATGGCCACCATTCAGGCATGACAGCTATTTTCTGTTCAAATTGACCAGGAATAATTATGTACCTTGTTCAGTTAGGGAAACAGAATCTTAAAATTTTAGTGACTCATCAAGAGTCACATTTAAAAGCATAGCAGATCTAAACACTAAATTCTAGAATATCTGATTCCAAGAAGAGTGCCCTGAAATATGGTGCTGTATGTCATTATACTATAAATGGAATGATTTCTGAAACTGTAACCACTGTCCAAAATATAACTTTTTCATAATAAAACACCATACAATTGGAGCATACATGGAATTCTTTATGATAAAGTATTTTCTTATTTTGAATAACTGTTGTCCTTAAAATCACATGTATTTAGATTATAGATTTAACATTTTATATGGTTTTCAAATACAGTATGAATTTCTAAAAAATTCTTTAATATTTCTAGGATCACATTTCCTTAAGCAAACAGCAATGCCACAGAAGCACAAAGGAAGCAGTTGTTTTACAGACAGAACTGAGAAAGATTCACTAGGAAAGGAGAGAGCAGTTCAGTACTTAACATCACTATGATATTAATCGCCTGCAGCCCTCTCTCTTCTGCAGGACTCTCAGGGCAGCATTCTTCACCTCTTTGTTTCTGAGACTGTAAATGAGAGGGTTCAGCATGGGGATCACAATTGTGTAAAACACAGAAGCCACCTGATCCCTTCCCAAGGAGTAGGACCTCTTCGGTTTTAGATAAGTAAAGATCATAGTGCTGTAGAAGATGGTGACTCCCAGGAGATGAGAGGCACAGGTGGAGAAGGCTTTCTTCTTTCCAGCAGTGGAATTAATTTTCAGGATAGTGGAGAGGATAGACAGATAGGATCCAGATATGGTACTGAGGGACAGCACCAGGGTGGAACCAGCAACAATGAATAACATGATCTCAAAGTCATGAGTGTCACTGCAGGACAGCGCTAAAAGTGCTGGAGTGTCACAGTAAAAGTGATGGATGACAATAGAGTTGCAGAAATTCAGTCTTCTCAGGCAAAGTACATTGATAGAGGAATCCATAAATCCAATCACATAGGAGCCAGAGAGCAAGGCATGACACAGTCTTGTGGACATAATGACTGGATAGTGGAGGGGGCTGCAGATAGCTACATAGCGATCATAGGCCATGGAGGAGAGAAGGAAACATTCAGCAGCAGCAAAGAAAACAAAAAGGTAAAGCTGAGTGAAGCAGCCCAGGAAGGAAATGCTCTTGGTGGAAGTCAGTAAGTTGTGTAAGGTTTTAGGGGTGATGACACTTGAGTAGCTGAGGTCAAGAAATGAAAGTTGAGTGAGAAAAAAGTACATGGGGGTGTGAAGCTGGGGATCCAGGCGAATGATCAGTATCATCCCCACATTCCCCACCACCATGATCAGGTAAATCAGGAGAAAGAGCATAGAGAGGACCAGCTGTGTCTCTGCAGAGTCAGTCAGCCCCATGAGGATGAACCCAGGCACATTGGTGGAGTTCCATCTACTCATGGTGCAATGTTTTAAACTAGTGAGAAATCAAAGTTGATACTTAGCTGAATGAATTCACAGTCACTGTATGAATAACCCAGTATTTCTATAATTAGCTTAGTATTTCTAACAATTTCCCAAGTGGGAGTGAAAATATTCACTTGCCACATATAGAAATGCTTGTAAATTGACATGAGCAGATGATGCAAGATAACATGCTATAGAATTAGAATGAGCCTGATACTATTCCTCAGACTTTGCTTTATTAACACATTTAATCCCCAGGAAAGTATTATTCATTGCTACTATTACCCACATTCTGTAGATGGGAATCTGAAGTCAGAGCAATTGCAGTGTGACACTGTCTGATTCCATTCCTGTGTATAACTGTTTCAGCAAACCTAAGAAATGGCATGTAGTGAGAAATGATAGGAAACAATTTTAATATATCATTTACTCTCCTTTGAGGCCAATACCATTTTGTATCCATTAAAATGATAAGATTCCTTTTGCAGAGTTAAGGAGGTGCATTAGTATTATAGACCAAATTAAATTATTAACTTTCACAACATGTGATATTTTCCTAACTTGACCATATAAAACTATTCTTCCGAAAAATTTTAATTTCAAAATATGTTCATTACTTGTATATCCTGATTGCATCCATTCTATATTTCTGTTTCTACACATCCTGGCATTTTTAATATAAGTTCCACATGCTATAAGTATGCATATTCCTCTGCAAAAGCTGTGATTTTGGTTATGAGCTCCAAAATCATCTAGTTTTAAGAATAATACTTACTGTGACTCAAAGCTGATAAAAATGACTTCCAATGGCATTGTTGTGGAAATTAGTCAGCTCTCAAATTCTTTTCAGAAATCATATACAAAATGCATTTAAAAATCTGAAAATTTCTGTAATATAGTATTTGTTTTCTTTACAATAGTGGACTTTACATTTTTATGCATTCATTATTTTATTCTGAAATAAATTAATCCTGAAAGGTCGCGCTAGACTTGGTCCAATTATAACTTCCCAGGTAATATCCAAAGAATCTGAGGGAGGAATTCTGAATATAAACAGAGTGGTGTATGCCTTGCTTCTCAACTGCTAATTCCAGGGAGCCTCATGTAATGGGCATTGAGCATAAGGCAACCTTTGGTCACCCTCAGGGAGCAGCTGCTTAGGAAGCTTATTTGGCATGCTTCCAATGAGCAAAGGGATTGTTTATTCCTTCACAGAGGTTCCACAATGAAGAATATAGTTACTTGGTATTCCTTGTGATGCTTTAATTTTTAATAAGAAATATTTATGTTTTGAACTGATGGATAATACATAAATTGTAAACTATAAATGTTTCCATTTTATAGTCACCATATCAGGACAACCTTGACCAAGTAGGAAGATCAGAAATTTCCAGAGAAAACCTCAGTTACTTTGTCAATAAGATTACTAAGAATGGAATGGTAAATTTTTGGCTATGAAACACTTTATATGTAAGAGCATGATTGTAACATAGGAGTAAAACATGGTTATTTAAAAAACAAAAAAATCAAAGAAATCATTGAAAGCAATTTAAAACTTCTAAATTTTTAACATAATTACAACTCCTAATCATTTCTTTATATTTGATAATAATTATACAGATGTACAATTATATATTTTCAAATTATTATTATATAATCAGTACTTTTTTAGAACTAAATTTTTATAATATGACATGACCCATATTATGTGTACATAAATATTAAAGCATCTATTTCAGGAAAATGTGCACATGTCCAAGAATTTTAACAGATAATTTCTGTGATAGACAAAGAATCTACTTCTGTATTTTCTTTGATTAACTTGTGGACCGGCACTGGTGTGCATCAGTGTCATTGTTTACACTGACACAGGCTCATTTGGAGGTTTGAAAGCCATCACCAAACTATAAGACAACTGATTAACCTTGAGGTTTGAGCTAAACAAAAGGCTTAGATGACATTTTATGTCAATGCCATGTCAATAGACAACATGTATTGTGTAATTTTCTATTTTTTCATAAAGTACAAAAAATTATTTAAAAATCTCACAACCAAGGTTTTGTTGTGCAAGGGATTCTGAACACTGAAACCTATTTGGATCAGGTTTAGAGCTTTTGATAGTCTTGATTTTTGGTAGTCTTGATTTTTGATTAACCTAGTCTACTACCTTGTGTATATAGCCTGAAGTTAAGAGATTCAATTATTTCACTAAGAATAATGTAACATTACCATTTTAACTTTTAAAAATTGGAGGTGGCGTGTTTTGTTATTCTTAAATAATCATCCTAAATTATACTGTATTTTAATCAGAAAATAAGACTCAAGTTAAGCTTTGAAAATTTATGGATTATTTGATCAAATAGTATAAATAACTCAAAGATTCTGACAAAGAAAGATTCAAATGCTGATATGGGTGTTTACTCTTAAATCAACTATATAGTATGTACAGATAATAAATGCTAAGCAAGTAGAAGTAAAGGTTCAAAAGTAATTGCTGTAGCATGTTAGTTGGTGAGATGTAATAAGAATAAAGAAATACCACGTGAAACGGCGTGAGCTACCTTGAGCCACGTATTCACTTTATGAGAGGAACATGGTGACACAGGAAGTATGAGATCTCCTAACCAGTGACTCCAGACATCAAAGTCATATGTATATACAGCATATAACTTCCAAATATATTTAATACTATGACCATACACAAGATAACACTTGATAAGGAATGCCTCTGTAAATTATTATGCCACATTATTATATATGTGTTTTGAGAAATTTTAGAAACCCAAGTTTTAGCAAAATGATTTTATAAAACTCTATCTATGCACAAATGTTTGAACATCAAAGAAATATACAAATATAAAACAGAATCCACTACCCTAAAGAGTACATCATTGCACTTTAAAAAGCCAATAATAACACAAAGGACTTAGTTACAAATCATATTGATGTGTTTGTAGATATTGTTAAGATTAAAAATATTAAAAAGCAAATGAACTTGCAGTCTTTTTGGAGACTAATTTTATAAATCATTATTTTCTTTGTAAAACGGCTATTTTTCTAGTAGAAGATTATGTCACATCAACACCATCTTTGTGGTTTCTTTCAATATATATTCTACATATCATAGCCCGACTCTAGTTACTATTCAATGATTTATAAACAGTTAGCAGTATTCAGTGATATATTTTTTCCAATGGTCATTTTTCAAAAATACTAGGGAAATTTTAATAAGTATCAGACACTCTTTACAGGAAAAAAATTCACACACGCTGAATTTCTTCCTTTAGTACTAATCATTTAATAGTGGTTTTCTGATTCAAAAATGAGAGAATCTCTATAGATCTGCTATATACATAAAAAAGGCCTTACACCTTACTTTTCACTTATCTACCTGTAATATTTCAAACATACAAATACATTGGTGCACACATTCACACATATTCCTAAATTTTATCAATTCCTTGGATTTAGAGAGACATATTCTACTCGTGTATAAATCGTGGCCCACAGTTTCAGTAGAGAGCCTTCTTGATAAATAGATCACATTTCTGTGTACATATATTTCTTGACTTATGATGGCTTATGTCCACTAAACTGGCTGTAAAATGAATACATTGTAAATGGAAAGTGTACTTAATACCCTGGACTTACCAATCATCATTGCTTAGCTTTACTTTCTCAACGCTGTTAAGAAAACCCAAATGAGCATGGGGATTCACCTAACACAAACACATTCTGTATTATACTGAGCATCTACATCCCAAAGTTTGGGCAACACAGGGCACTTGGT